CGAGCCGATGCATATGCATTCGGCTCGGCTGAGCCGCTCGGCCATGATCGGGAGCTGTACGGGCTATTGTGAATAGCCCGTACAGCACCCCTTCGGTTCTACTGAACCTAAGGGGTCCTGGGGCCGAAGCTAGCCGAAGGATCGGCCGAAGCTACGGCCAGATCCTTCGGCAGCTTCGTGAATAGACCCCCATACACTCACATAAATCCCAATTAAATATTAGAAATCCCCAAAAATGGCAGATGTAGAAGTATAATTTTAGGGTTGTCATTTCAGTTTATGTCTGATTTTACGGGCTGTAACATTAACACATTTCTGCCAAGCTGTTAAAATTTCACAGCTTTCTGTTTCATATGCAGTTGCCTTCTTATTGGACAAGGAATCATCTGTGTGGTGATGTAGCTTCACTGTCTTATTAGGAGGCTGAAAGCAGAGAGGTGACATGGGACCATGCCAATTGAACCCAGGACATAGAGGTGTAGAACTGAAAGACTAGCATAACACAATGAATGACCCTTTGGTTAAAGAACTCACATATTTGAACTGTGAATTTGGTTATTACAAAGTTGTGCTGCTCTGAGCATTACATTTTCATGTTGTTGATGTTGTCTTTGTTTGTTGTAGAATCAGTGACAGAGTGTAAGGACAAGGGCAACACCCGAGCTTTGGAAAAGATGGTCCCACCAGTTAATGAGGAGGAAGCTGGTGAATATACTTATCTAAAAGACTCTGGATCACCTAAATCATCCCAGGTCGATCACAGCGAAACCCCCCTACTCAAGTCATCTGATAGTGAAAGATCATCTTGTGGTTCTGGATCTACAGGTGGAGCATTGTACGCAAAGGTTGCAAGGCTGTCTAAACAGTCAAAGGAGGAAGATGACCCATCCATGGATAACAGAAGTGCTACAATAGGAGCAAAGCCTCCATCACCTGAAAGAACAAAACCTCCCCCACCCGATCCATCTACAAAGCCTAAGGTATCATGGATTCATGGCAAATGTAATGCAGGTCAATCTAATACTATGCCATCATTTATTAAGACATCGGAAAAGCCAGCAAATAATTCTGACCAATCAGAACAAAATTCAAGTGTTAAAGAAAAAGAACATCATAGGAAGAGGACCCCTAGTGATACAAGCCCTGCAGGGCAAGGAAAAAATGAAGAAAAAGTAATTATGAGAAATAAGGACAAGAAGAAGGATGCAGGCAGTGCAGAAAGCAAACCTGCTGAAGAAGCGCAATCTCCTTCCAAATCAAAACACAGGAACAAAACTCATGAGCACATAGAAAATATTAATGGAACAGTCCAAAATGCCTTAAAGAGGATAGGAAATCTACACCTTGATAAAAAGAGTGGGGATGCTAAAGAAGCCCCAAAAAGTCCAGATCACAGCAAGTCTCTAGCTGAGGTCCTTCATCCTCATTTATCATCAGAGGCAGCTTCATTACTGGCTGCCCAACTAAAGGAAAAAACTCAGAGTCTCAATAAGGTGGAGGCCAGTCCTAACCAAAATGGGATTGGTCCACTAAAAGCACAAAAGGAGAAACCAACCCCTCCCCAGAAAGCTAAGCGATCTGCAGCAGCCATAAATCAGAAATCCAGCAAAGCCATTTTGCCCACATCTACCAACCTACAAAAAATGATCAACCCAGTTGCAGAGACAGTTCCAGGCACAGGAAATCCAGTTGAAAAACAAAACTCTAACAGCAGTCAGGAGCAGGCTGTGGGTACAAAGCAAGAACCAGCAGAACCAGCAGTCAAAAAGACACCCATAAAGAAGCCCCCAAGAAAGAAAAGCAAAGATGCCACCTTGGACACTGATGGAAAAGTACAGCCGAAAATGGCAATAATGCCACCGCAGTCAGTAAAATAATGTTGACTTATTAGCACATTGTTTTCTCTCCATAAGGGGCATTAGTTCTTCAACTCATGGACGTATTTTTATGTAGCCATATTTGAGCCAAAGAAATGTCAGTCTTTAGGGTGAGAAGACAAGTGCATTTGGAAATAAATATTGTTGTGCCAGTTCAAAACATGTTAAAGACAAAGAAGATGCTTCAGCGGCCTGCAACACGTCCAATGAAACCAGCAGTATCCACAATACAATAATAAGTGCCTCTATATGTGGATTATAGTGCCTTTACTTTTTCATGGAAACTGGACCATGCACAGCCAAAAGATGATGGTCATATTAGAATTTTTTAAATTAATGTTTATTGAGGAACGCATTTGGATAATGTGGTATATATGATAATTAATAGACTATGACAATTTCATAGCATTGGTTTGTCATGTAAAGCTGACCATTCAACAATTTTTTTTTTACATTTTTTAGCATGATAGTCTACTGCCAAGCCTTACTATTTGCAAGTTGCTTTACAATACTTCATTCAATGAAGAAGGCCGGGTATCTAAATTATTTAAAAATACTTATTTTTGTATTAAAAATTTTAAACCCTGGACAATTGGTTTGCATTAGGGATCATAAGAAGATGACTGCCAAGTTGAAAATCCTATTGGGCTTGCTGATCTGTACCAAGTCATTTCACATTAACCATGGATACTTGGTTTTTCTGTGCTATGTCGATAAGCAGTGCTTATTTTAATATAAATTGATGTAATGAATCTGATCTGGATATGGATAAGCTAGTTCTTTCCTTTACCTTTTATTTGATCATTTCAGTTCTCAAATTAGTATTACCATAGACAAGCTTATACATGTGTTATCATAATAGGGTTTAGGCTGAATTTACAAAGCTAACACACCAGGATAAGTATATTTTAAAAAAACATGACTGATATTTTCAGCTCCAATGATATTTGAAAATCACAATCACATGGTTAAATTAGAGAGCCTTATCCTTGTGTTAATTGAGCTTTGTGAATTGAGCCTTCTCTTGTCATTTATTTAGACATAGATACTTGTCACCTTCACCTAGTTTGCTATCGCACCCTGTACGTTCAGTTATTGTGCACGTTAGAATCTTCTTCAAAGGAATTTATTTAACTGCGTGCAAGATTCACAGTTAGCAGGTCTAATTTACCAGCAAGAAGTGAGGTAAAGCTAAGGAGCATATTTATAAAGCAGTGAATGACATTCACCGAGCATTCTCGGCAGCTGATTCTTTCTTGTGCATGTTTAAACTACAGTGATTGATTCACCAGAAGTGCACATTCACTGCTTTATAAATGCACCCCTTATGAAGTGAGCACAAAGATCGAATCATGTGTAGGGAATAAAAAAAAAAAAACAGTTTTTCTTTCCCTTGCTGGTATGTTTCATTTCACTGTGCTTCACCTCACTTGACACTTAAGTAAATCAGGCTGCAATCTCATTCAGTGTTCTAGTTTTCTTTCCCAAAGACTTCCCTATTGTATATAAAGCTTTACTTTTGGTAGCTAGTGGAATGGATTTAGGGTAAAATTAGATGGAATTTATTTAGGTGTGTGTGGTGCTTTACACTTTTTAAATATGGCCATTACAACACATTGCCATGGTGTATTTGCCCTCGTTGCTGAGCACTGTTTCACAGGAAGTTGTCAAAAATGATTTCATAATACAGGCACAGATGAAGCATGTACGTAGTCAGTTTGTGTCCTGACTATGCACAGACTGATGGTAGAAGGGCCCATTAATTATTTATTTAGTACCTGTGACACTTCCTGAACCTGAGCACTTGAGGAGACTTGCGGTGGGGTAGAGTGGATAGGGAACAATCAACATCATATAACTTTCCCCTCATATTAGGTACTGTGGGCTGCAATTACACTCACTAAAGGCTGCAAAAATCCTTTAGTAGCAGTATGTGTAACTGAAATGTACAGCCCATAATCCAGACTCTAGCACTTTCTGCATACAGAATTACCACACCTAGTATTATTTGTGGCACTTTTTTGACAAATTGTTCATACCAGTTCAAACATTTTCCAGGCACAAAATAAATATGACTATACTGTATATTTCAACATTTATCTCTATAAAAAATCTAGCTATTAATTTATAATCATAAATAGTGCTTATGATGAAGAGGTATTATTTTGTTAGCACTTACCTAACCTAATTTTTAAATATAGTTACTCATTAAACTTGCAGTTCAAACAGCCATCAAAAAAGCTAAATAATGAGCTATTTTAAAATTCATTTCTAAAATAAAGACCACCCAACAAGTCTCTTGGCTACTCAGCTATACTAAAGATCATCAGGTCCTTGGAACCCTACTTATGGAACATGCTCATTTTTCAAGTTCAGAGAATCCCATCAAAAACAGGACTTTAAAACCTTACCTGCAATTAATAAGCATTCTCAACATGGTTTAGACTCTGTTCTATGAGCTTGCCATTCACTGCAGTCTGTATGACTGCTGCTTGCTTGAGGAATTGTTGCTTGACATTTCGTTCAAAATGTAATTCCAATATATGGTTGGCATGTTTTCTGATGAGAACTACTAGCGTTCCTATATTTTTAATGAGTCTGTCCCAGAACTAACATTGGCATCACCATTCATTTTTGCTATCCCAGTGCATTTTTGCATTGTGTTATTAACAAGTGTGAACCACATCCAACTCCACTGGTATGAAAAGGAACCATTAAAGTGGAACTCTGATCAAAACCTCATTTTTGGATATAGCATAGAAGGCTAAGATCTGTTTACTACTGCCTGTAGGTCCAAGCCTTCCTTGAGGCCACTTGAGACGCCTGCCTCAGGGGGCACTCAGGGAGGCACTTTGGGAGGTGACACTGAGGCCAGAGTGTCCATGAGACACATTATAGCAGGATCACCTGAAACAATCAAAAGCCAAAATGATCTCTTGTGGGCGTCCCCATTACCGTAGCAACCCACCCACAACCTACCAAACTAGACGTGTAAACAATTATTTTTGTTTGGTGAATTGTGGGTGGGTTGCCATGGTAACAGGAATCACCGATGGAGATAGTACCATCTTTTGAATGTTTCTGAAGCAAATAAAAGCCAGTACAAATTCTGGCAGGAATCCCTGTTACCATGTCAAACTGGCAACCCATCCACATAGCAGCACGAGATGAGGTTGCCTCCAAGGTGGCCATTTTTGATGGAGGAGGGGCAAAAACTAACACATCAAATGTCTATTGACCTAGGCACGCTCCTTGCAGTCTATAGTTTGTTTCCCCTCATTCCGGTTTCAATGACCACTGTCAAAAGAGAGGAAAACATAGACAACAATAAAAAAAACATGATAAAGGTTCTAACCCACCCTTCACACATGTTTTTGTCCACATTACCATTGGCTTTGACATTCCCCATTCTACCTTTCCAAGAAACAATTGTTACCAGAACAGCAAGTCAAGCTACATCTCTCCAACAGGGTCACTTCAACTCAAAATGATATCCAAAAAATAAATAGAGCTCTGAAAATACTACTTGCCTAATCTGCCAGCAAATCTATTGGCTTTTGTGCTTTAAATCACTGACTTCAGCGAGTGTAGTGGAGAGAAAAGAGTGTCAAAAATGTTGTTGACTGACCAGTTAGATTTTATTCATCACAATAGTATAAAGAGATGACCAACATGTTTAAGGAACTTTATCAATCCTCCTTCATCAGTGCTGAATGCATTGGCTACCTCCTTATACTATTGTGATGACTAAAGTAGGCTGGGTACCACATTTTTGGCACTCTCTTCTCTCCGCTATACTTTCTGCTGTTGTTCTAATGACCTTATCTGGGTCCATCAAATTGCAGAGAGCTGCCTCTGATTTTTCGGAACACAAATAAAAAATTGGAATACTCACCTTAACCAGTATCCCACGCTCCACCAATATAGCATGATTTGAGCCACTGACTTGGAACAAGTGCAGAGATCAGGAGTTTTCTCCAACTGGCTTTGTTCCATAGTCGCACAGCTGCATGCATGTTCTTGGTCAGTGACTTAAACTTTTGAAGACAGATACAGCTAGGTAATTAAAAAAGGAGGCCGGCTAAAGCAGTCTGCATGTTTCCTGCATTACAGGTTTCTCTTTAACTTTGTTACACTAAAGATACTTTCAATGCAATTGCTGACATGCTTTTTACGGTACGGGCCACACAGCCATTATCTTGACCTAGCCAGACTACATTGTGAGTCCCTAATTTGAAGCAAGTATTTCCCTATTGAAGTCTGAAAAGTTCCCTGTGAATTCACACATCAGCAATGGCAGCTGCCGGTGTTATTATCTGCATAGTTCTCCTAAACTTAAAAAAGTTGCTGACAATCCCTGAGTATTACAGCTATTTTTTGTTAGTAGACTATAAAGCTGGCCATACACCTATAGATTTTCTGCAGATTTTCTTTGGTCAGATGGAAAAAGTGCACTGTGTTGATGGAGGAACCTCCCGCTGGGCCAAGCTTCAGTATCTTGCTAGTTAGCCCTGCTGGTGGCTGTCAAAATACCTGAACAATTTGATTGGATGCAGGCATTGCTCAGGTATTTTCAGAACCATCTGGGCAGACTAGCAAGATACTGAAGCTTGGCTCAGCGGGAGATTCCTCCATCCACACAGATTAGCGTAGATGGAGGAATCTGTTGCACTTTTTCCATCTGACCATAGAAAATCTGCAGATAATCTATAGGTGTGTGGACAGCTTAAGACAGGACATAACAGATGAGTTAACCTATTGAAAACAAATACCCTTGAGTGACTTTGGAACAAAGTTACAGAATGAAATCTGATTTCTGACTCAAGGCTACACATCTTACTCATTTGCACTTTATAGATAACGTCAGAGGACAAAATATTTTTCATGACATACATGTTACTGAAATAAAATGCGTTCACAGTGCACAGTGTAAATATGGTGAAGTTACTAACAAGTGGAGCATATGCTCCAGCGTCAGAACATATGCCAGCTAAGTGGCACCATGTCTAAAATAAAGTTGTTGTTTTTTCTAAAGCTACAGAATCTATCTGACTCATGTTAGGGATTTCACATGCACATCTCATGTAGGAACAATTCCACATGAAGTGAATACTGATAACATTAAGGTGACTGTACAAAAAACAGTAAAAGTAAAAAAAACAAACCCAGGGTTGAATTCCCCATTAGGCACATTAGGTATGCGTCTATAGGCAGCAGAGCAAAGATGAAGCCTTTTCCAGTGTAATTATTGCCCACACATTTATTTTCCATCAGCGGCAGGAATAGTTTTCTCATATAAGGTTATTTAAACATTATCGCAACATTGTAAGCCAGGTTAGGAGCAGGAAAACAGTGAAATATCCTGTGTAAAAGAATTGATCCTACCAGAGGGGTGTTTTATCGGGCAGCAAGATGGTGTGCCTATAGGGTCCAGTGATTACAACTGTTAATAGCGCACACTGGCCAGGGAAGTATAAAATTGTGCACTGTGGCCGTGACAAATGTGCACACCTGATTTCATATGCTGTTGTCTCTCAATAGGTTTCTAATGATAAATACCTGTACATACCTTTTCTTTTTTTCCACCAGCAGTC